CCACCAAAGATTCACAGGCCCAGGGGTAAGGAAGCCATTTGATAGTGGGAAGATGCGAGAAGGCATCCTCAGAGAAGCAGAGATGGAGAAAGAAAGCATCTGGGCCACGTTAGTGCCGGCTAGAGTGCTAGAGGGAGGGTCTCCAGCCTCTCCCCAGAATCCTAAAGCTCCCCCATCCTGGTCCGGTCTCCAGGAGTCTCAGCCATTGCAGGGTTCCCGCATCTGGACCCCAGCGAACTCTCCATCTTCCTCGTTCCCATGTGGACCCTAACACTAACCCCCACCTTACTTGAGCTAACCCGAGGACATTACTCTTCTTTTCCAAAAATTTTTATTTTGATACCAAGCCACTCAGCAAACCATCAAGAAAGACAACATTTCAAAACAAAACAACAAAAACCCAGAAACAGAGATCTAGACATCAAACCACAATTATCCCCCCAAACCCTGCTGTTGCAAAAAGGATAGGAAGCCAAATCCCCATAGTCCGTTAGAGAATATAACCTTTAAAAACAAACAGAAAGAATCCATAAAGTTAGGGTTTTCACTACAGCGGGTGGGCAGACAATTATAATTCAGCTTGTTTGGCCTGGGAATATGGTGAGCTTCCTCTTGTTCCAGCAGAAGAAATAAAAACAAACAAACGGGAGCTGCTGGAGTTACTATTAAAATTGTCCTTACCAACTAAAGGTAGGGTGAGGGTAAGGGACAGAATGAGAACCAAAGGGAACAAAGACAAGTGGTCTTGAAGTTTAGGCTCTATCTGTAACCAACAAACTTGGTCTAACACAACCTTCCCACACAGCCTGATTCTCCTTCACATCCTCCTCCAAAGCTGGCGGTACCTGGATGAGGTATTTAGAATGAACATCTCAATTCTCATGCCTTCTTCCACCTTTCTCTATGTGTTCTTCATTTGTGGGGAAGGGCTCCAAGTGCAGAAGGAAGTGTGTTGTTTGTTTGTTTGTTTGTTTTATTACTCCAGCTAAGGTGGAGTGAACCAAGCTCACAAACAGAAAGAAAGCCTACAGAAATCAGAACTTATTAACTCTAAAGAAATGTGCCTAAACTGGGTGCTTTGAAAGGGCATTTCTGAAATGATGTCTATTTTTGTTAAGGGAGCAGAGCAGTAATAGTGTTTAACACTGATGTCCAGGGCTGACATTTAGCAGGTTCACATGGGCTTAGCCCTGCCAGTTGTCTACTATGGCTGGCACCTCTTCTGATTGGTCGGTGCCACTGCTCGCACAATAGGTACATATTCTGAATATCACTCTTGGTGATATCATGGTTTCTGTATCCATTATGTGAAAGGAGTCTTAGAAAAAAATTCACCTGTGTAGACAGGCTTGTGTATACAAGTAGATACTCATATATTGTTCACAGGTATTTGCAAAGTGTTTCACTAATGAACTGGTAGCAACAACCAGAGTTTCAGTTCCTACAATGATTTTTTTTTCCCTCTTAGTAGAGATAGACAAGAAAAATATATTTCCTGGACCTCTTGTCTGTTACCCAAGGTTTGCTTGCACCTCTCTGCTTTATCTGTGGCCCAGCTGGGTGGATCTACTTGGTAGCTTCCCTGTCTGCCTGAACATTTACCTGCTGCTGTGCTTTTGGCTGTGTCTGACCTTGAAATCTCCCATGCTCTCCCAGAATAACATAGTAATTAAACTCAAAGCCCACCTCCAATCCTATCTCCTCTTGTGGCCTTCCCTGGGATACCAACTACAGTCAACATTCTCTTAGTCTTCTAGTACTTATTAGGTCTACTACTACTTAGTGATGATTTGTTGTTTGGGAATATTTTAGCTTATTATGTAATCATATTGATAGCTATTTTCATGTGCATATGTGAAACCTACTCATTTAAAGTACAAACTCATTGAAATTTACAGTTGTTAAAAATGGACCCTGACACTTAGAACTCCAACTGGCATAAAGTAGATGGATTGCTGTCCTAAGCTTGCAAGAGACATTTGGACGCACTGAACTTTCCCTAGCAATCTGAATATGAGCTCAGAGCTCAGGAATCAGAGGGCCCATAGAATTAAGTTTTGTTAATATCCAAGCTGTAACTTTCACATTTGCATTCTCTTTTCCTCCCAAAAGTCCCAGAAAGCCAAGGAAGGCTGTAGCTATAGAGGAGGTGGAATAACTTGGAAAACTGCAATACAGGATCTCCTTAGGGTGGCATTATGGGTGTGTCATGGGAAGGTGAGAGGACAGGAGGGAAGGATAGGCAGAGGTATCACCACAAAGGAGATGGCAGCATGACTCCTTTATAATTTTGCAAAGCCTTCTTGATGTTGTGCCTTCAAAAATGAAATATTTAATAACAAAACCTAATTATTGTTTGAATTACAAAGTGACCTAGGAGCACAGCTGTGGAAGGCAGCATAGTGGCCCCCAAATATGTCTACTTCCTAATATCCAGGACCTGCAAATGTGTTATCTTATGTGGCAAAGGGACTTTGCAGATGTGATCAGGGTGAGGATTTTGGGATGGGGAGATTACCCTGGATTATCCCAGCTGGGCTCCATGTAATCATGAGTCTTTGTAAGTGAAAGAGGGACAGTCAGTTATGCTGCTGGTTTTGAAGATGGAGAATGGGGCCATGTACTCCTAGTTAGAATCGGAGTACATTTGCAGAACTATGAAAGACGGTCACCATTTCATTCTGATTAGAATTATTACTGTCAATTAAAGTCTCTTCTCTCCCCCCAGAAAAAGATACAAACTCTCACCTTTACCTCTGATTTTTTCAATGTCTTCTGGGATATTGTCTAGTTTTGGCTGCTATAACAAAATACCACAGACTGGTACTAAACTGGCTTAGACAACAACCATTTATTTCTCGTACTTCCAGAGACTGGGCAGTCCAAGGTCAAGGTGCCCACGGCGGGGGTGTCTGGTGAGGATCCTGTTCCTGGTTTGCAGGTGGCTGCTTTCTTGCTGTGTCGCCACATCACAGAGAGATCTCTTGCCTCTTCTTATAAAGGCCCTAAAACCTTTTCATGACCTAATTACCTCCCAACAACACTTTCACCATTATGCTGCGGACTAGGGCTTCAACATATGAATTGGGGTTGGGGGACACAAACATTCAGTCCATAGCAGATATGGTGGGACTTAAGTATGAAATGTTTTCCTTGAACTCTTGTGATTTTTAGTAACTTAGTCAAAAATAATTGAAAGATAGAAAATCAGTTAGCTCTGTGGCACTGGAGTACTCGCTGGGCCATCCCTCCTGTGTTTACCTGGCACAACCTGGGCTAATGGAAAAGTGGATTTCCCCCTCCCAGAAGGGTTAAGTACAGGGAAAGAGGTGGGAGGGTCTCAAGAAGCAGAATCACATCAATACTGAGCAAGAGCCAAGCTCAGAGGGAGGAAATGTAGTGTTTATGGCACCAACTTGCAAATGCAAACACGAGCAAACCCAAGCAATGTCACAAACGCTCCTCGACAGCTGGATGTCTTCAATGTTTAAACTAGTAATAAGCATCCAGGGTATCTTTGGAACATGATTTGTCTGTAAATATTCATACATCTATTTAATAGAACCACAGGGATTAGTTAACAACAACAGCATTGCCTAAGAACCATCAACTTTCACTCCTCCAAGTGTGTCGAGATCCACAAGTTAATCTGTTAGGGGGAAAAAAAGACATAACATTTCCCTCTGACTGTGGTGGGAATCAGTAATTGTGGGGTTTCCAGGAAGATACTGAAAATCCCCTGGATACTGAAGGATTTGGGCTGCAGTTTTCCAAATCTGTTAAATGTGGGACGGATGGAGGAAATCTTTTTTTTTTTTTTAATCCACCATCCTAAAAGTTCATGAACTTTCAAAGGGACACAGGAACCAACCCGAAAGAGGTCCCAGTGGTCAAAACTAGATCAATTTAAATAAAAAAATAAATAATATACTATTGAATTATAGCCCAAAGTATAAAACAAATATACATGAGTCCATACTGATATGAATAAATAAATGGGAGAGTCCGAACAAATCTTCCTTGCAGACTAATTCCAAATAATCATATGAAGACACTCCCACCTCTAGGGGTGAAGTTTAATAGACTGACTGCCATTCAACGAAGAGAATATGGAAAGAGAAAAATAGGGACTTTGCAGAACAGAAACCTGGCAGAGACTGCTTTAAGTAAGGGAAGAGGTCGGCATCCATCAAGTACTACCCAGTACTCCCTGAGAGGGTGTTATGAGAAGGACACTTCACCTCGGCGACCTGCCTCCACCCAAACCCATAACCACCGTCTAACGAGGAGAACACTGGACAAAGCCAAGTGAGAGACATCCACCAAACTTTGCCTCATCACAGCACTTCATTCCTTACAGCTGTCAAAGTCAGGAAAAGGCCAAAAAATTGGGTCAGACCAGAAGAGACCAAGCAGACATGACACTCAGCGCAGTGTGGGGTCCCGGATGGGATCCTGGAACAGAAAGATAGTGCCGGAAAAACGAGGGCCATCCGCATAAAGCCTGGAGTTTAGTTAATAGTAACAGATCATGTAAATTTCTTAGTTTTGAAAAATGTACCATGATTATGTAAGGTGTGGGCCTTAAGGGACACCTGCTGAAGGGGGTTTAGAGAACTCTCTGCACTGTCTGTGCAACTTTTATGTAAGTCTAAAATTATTCCAAAATAAAACTTTTATTAAAAACAACCAAAACAAAAGTTTATGAACTTAGGGTGCAGATAGGACCTTCTTGAAAAGCAGCAGCATAAAATCCCCCGTATAGCAGCGCTCCACCGAGAGCCGGCAGGGCCGGCGCTTGGAACTTGTGCCCTGGGCGAGCGCGTCCCGGCCCCTGCAGGAGCCGGGTCTCCTCCCTGGTCTCCCGGGAGCCGGACTGTGGCCCGGGCGCGCCCCACGGGGCGGAGCCAGACCTGCAGGCGGCGGTGACATCCGCCCCGCCCCGGGAGCCGGACTTGGCCGGGAGGCCCGAACGCCGGGGAAGGAGCAGCACCCGGACCCCGCGCCGGCTCCGCGCTCCCCAAGGTAGGCGAGCCTGGGAGTCCCCGGGCCCCGTCCCCGCGGCACGCGCCAGGCAGGTCGCCCTCGCCAGGTGGGTGGGCGTCCAGGTGCCCTTGGAGCAGGTTTCCCCAGCGGTGCTCGTGACACCAAACACATTTCCTGTATAAGGGTCTTGGATGGAAAGGATACTCCTCCCTGTAAACCTCCGTTCTGGGCTCGGATTCCCTGGGCGAGAAGTTCCTTTTTCTCTGGGAAGAGAAGGGGTTGCTTTTCCTCCAGAAAAGAACCCTTTTCTTAACCCGGCTCACACCTCATTATTTATTTAGGTTGTTGTTAAACAATCCCTTTGCCAGGGGTCCCCGCGGTTTCCACTTGCTAATTTCAGGGGCCGTGGAGAAAAGCCTTCCGGAAAACGCTGTCGCCTGTTGACTCCAGCGCGGCGGCTTGACAGGTCGCTGCGCACCCAACTTTTAGGAACTAAGATGAATGAAGGTGGTTTTCTCACCCTCCATTCATTCGTGCCGGCTCCTGCAGCTGCAGGTGTAGCAAAAGAACAGCCCATTGCCTGACAGTTCTGCTGTTCCTGTTGAGTGGCCACCCTGGGATTTTAGAGCTGGAAGTTACAGAGCCCTCCCCAGGCAGCCTTCCAAGTAGCAATACTGTCTTATTAAATGAAGAGTACAGCACAGTGCAAGTGTAGTTTTTTAGACTGGATGGTGACATAGCTGCACATTTTCAGCCTTTTTCGAAAGGAAAAGAAAAAAAAAATAATTGAATGTAAGGATCAGAACAAAGCAACTAGCCCTGAACATAACTGAAGCTGTGTCTGTTCCCCATTATATCATAGTTGTTTTACTTTAGGAATCAAACCTCTTCTACTCTTGGTGTATATAGACTAGATGAAGGGTCAGAATACAAAAGGGAATTATTCTGCATTTGCAATAGGGAAAAGCTAATCTGTCCTTTTGATTTTACCTAATGCTATCAAATATTCAGCTCTACAGAAGTCTGGTTTTCCAGAAACTTGAGCTGGGCAGGAGTGTCAGGTACCCTGGCAGACACAATTGGCTCCTTTGTTAAGCTGCAGCTGGGCTGTCCCCTCCTCCTCCCCCCTGCACTCCTGGTTTGAGAGCGAAGGCCCCTGACAGGCATTTCTGCCTAAGGCATGAAGGCATCCCTGTGTGGATCCTCAACTATTTGCAGAAAAAATGAAAACAGGTTATACTTCCTAGGAGTGAGCCAAATGTCATAAGAAGATTCTTACTTTTTGTTATTTACAAAATAAATTGATCTCCTATTCTAACCAGAAAGAAAATTTTGAAATAAATACAGGTGCTATTCTGTGTATTAAAAATAGGCGTGTTGGCCGGGCGCGGTGGCTCACGCCTGTAATCCTAGCTCTCTGGGAGGCTGAGGCGGGCGGATTGTTTGAGCTCAGGAGTTCGAAACCAGCCTGAGCAAGAGCGAGACCCCATCTCTACTAAAAATAGAGAGAAATTAATCGGACAACTAAAAATATATAGAAAAAATTAGTTGGGCATGGTGGCTCATGCCTGTAGTCCCAGCTACTCGGGAGGCTGAGGCAGAAGGATCGCTTGAGCCCAGGAGTTTGAGATTGCTGTGAGCTAGGATGATGCCATGGCACTCACTCTAGCCTGGGCAACAGAGTGAGACTCTGTCTCAAAAAAAAAAAAAAAAAAAGTAGTCATGTTTTGTGTTGGGCTATTTATTTACAATGTGCTCAACTCTGAACATGATTTGCAATCTGAATTTTGGCCAAAGCTAAAAAATGTAAGCTAGATTTATACAAAGCTGAAAAATGAGGTGTGTGTTTGTGTGGAAAAATAACTAAAAAAGGAAAGCATTGAAGATATGAAGGGACTGTAAAAGTCTTTTAAGGTAGTAGTTTCAAATCTTTTGAACTGAGATATTTACATCAAAATTATATGGCCTTTTATTGATTGAAAATATTTCATAATGGCAAAATTTTACTATGAATTTAATAACATGTTTAAATGAATTTCACTTTACTAAGCCCAAAACAGTCATTTACATAGGCATGCGCACATACATGTGTGTGTGTATACATATATATCCAGTTTTAGAAAATATTTGGTGTATCTGTAAATTTGTGGGCTTAATCATGCATTCATTGAACCAATATTTATTGAGTGCCTACTGCACAGGGCACTGTGTTCTGTGTTGGAGACACAAGGTGTTACAGCCCTGTGTAGGAAAGACACATTCCTGTCCTCTTGGAATTTATACAACATTGGAGTCCTCCAGGGCACCCAAGACCATAGATTAGGAACCACATCGGTGACCCATCCATCCATTTTGATAGTGCCTGAAACTAGATTAGTTTCAAATCACATATTCCCTTACACCGATTTAACTAGTCAAATCTAAAAATTATTACATGTTATTCTGGTCAGTGGTTTTCTCTTTTGTTTAGGTTGCGGAAGAATTTAGGAATTGTGTGTTTTGGGTTTAGTATTATAAAATATTAAACCTAAAATAGCTAAGTATCAATTTCATGCAAATTAAATTCAAACTAAGCTTGTAGCATGGATGCCAATAATCTAGGGGAAAAAAATCAATGAATGAAAAACTTAACATTGAGAAAATCTAGCCATCAATTTTTTTCCTGTAAATTAGAAAAACATGACTACAGTTCTATTTTTCTTCCGGAAGAAAAAGGCATCTTTATTCAAGTTATTCTTACTTTTTATTCTGTTTTTTAAAATGTTTTATTGGAGATATAATTTACATACCATAAAATGCAAGGGTACATACAATTCAATGATTTTTAGTAAATTTATGGAATTGTGCAACTATCAGCATAATCCAATTTGAGATCATTTCATCACTCCCAAAACATCCCTGGTGCTTGTTTGCAGTCACTCACTATTCCTACCCTGAGCCCCAGGCAACCACTAATCTACTTTCTGTCTCCTTAGATCTGCCTTTTTGGTACATTTCATATAGATGAAATCATACTGTATATGGTCTTTAGCATCTGGCTTCTTTCACTTAGAATAAAGTTTTTGAGGTTCATTCAGGTTGTAGCACATATACGTAATTGGTTCAGTTTTATTGGTAATTACTACTTATTCCTTTCCATGGTTATACCACATTGTGTCCACCACTTGCTGGACATTTCTGCAATTACATTTAAATGGTAAGACAGATGCGTTGGTCTGACAGATACATTAGTCCAGCTTCCATGGTAACATAATTTGAAAATAATGATATGAGCCAACATCTTATTTGATGTTTCAATTCTCCTCTATGATACTTTTAAATATTAATGTCAAGAGTCAAACATCGAGGATCCTCTTAAGCGGTGGTGTTTTCCATAACTGTAGAGAGAATAAACCGAATAAGAACTTCCCAACACTGCAAGAGTGTTGACTTTTGGTAAACCTCTATTAGGAATCAGGAATCTTGAACAGCAATTTCCAGTCAGAATTGTTTTTTTGTACACCCCCATTGACCCTGCTTTATGATAACTATTATGGCAAATGCATTTGGGGCCAGGGGCATGCTTTGACAACTTATGCTTAATTAAGAGGTCCTCTTAGGGAGATTTCTCTAGTTGAGAGAAACCCTTTCATGAAAATCTGACAAGTTCTGTGAACCTAAGGAGAAGACAGTGTCTCTCTGAGTGCTGTTAAGTAAAATTGCAAATTCCTTTTGGGGCCGAAAAAAAAAAAAAAGAGCATTAATATAACTTAAGGTCTATTTTATTGGCCAGTTAGAATGCAAAAGATTTTTCTAAATATCTAAAATTTGAAAACTAGATGACCTAGTTAAATAATACAGTTTTCCAAAGCTGAAAGTGTTCATACACAACTCAGTTTTTCTGCTTGAAACGTCAAAACAACTTCCTAAAATTCCTCGGTGAGAACACCTAGGAGTATGTGATTTGATTAAGTGATTAATCTTGGTTGGTAATAAACCTTTTTTTCCTTGGTAAGGGTTTAAAAAGTTCTAAAACAGATGCATTTTTCTAGTCCTACACCAACAACTTCATTCCAAATATCTCCTGCGAGGCATTTACTTTATACAGGAATCCATCTTTTATCCTTCTCACTTTCACGTAGTTCAGGATCAGGGTGGAGACATTCAACGTACCGTGCCCGTTCACCAGGAGGAAGAGTCTTGATTGGCAATGCGTTCCTTTATGTTGTCCTGATCTGCTACAAGGAACTCGGTTTTACCCAGGGTGGGAAGCTGCCTCTTTCCTCATTTCTTTCATCATACTGAGCGTCAGATTTTATTGACTATTTTTGTAGCATCAACAGTTCTACCTACCTATCTACCTATCAGCCTTCCATTTGCCTGCTTTTCAACAATCCTAATTCCATTGCTATTTTTACCATTTAGACATTTTGGGGTCAATAATTTGAGTGAAGGAAAATGAATTCATTTAATTGTGGCTTCCAGTTAATTCGGATAAAATCAGCGAGGGTTCTTAGATTTTGAAATATTAATTGTACTTTGCTTTTTCTAGGATACTTTGGATTACTAAATTTTAAATAAAGGTATACAAATTTACTTTTTTTTTAGTGTAGAGTACTGTAAGTTCTGTGGTTAGAGTCATGGAACCACCATCACCATCAAGATATAGAGCATCCCCCCGCTCCAAAGTCCCCTGTGTCCCTTTGGTAGTCAGCCTCTCTCCCAATTCCCAGTACCAAGCAACCACCGATCTGTTTTTGGTCTCTACAGTTTTGACTTTTCTAGAATGCCAAATAGATGGAATCAGAGAGTATGTAGCCCATGGAACTTGGCTGTTTTCAGTCAGCATGATACATTCGAGAGGCATCTATGTTGTTCTGTGTATCATTCATTCCTTTTTACTGCCAAGTAGCACTCGCCTGTTGGGGAACATTTGAATTGTTTCCAGTGTTCGACAATTACGAACATTCGTGTGCGGGTTTTTATGGAACGTAAATTTTCATTTCACTTGGATAAACGCCAAGGAGTGGGATTTCGGGGCTGTACAGTATGTGTGTAAT